CATCAAGTAGAGGTTTAATCCAAGCTGTGCAAACAAGACTTGTGTAAGCGTTGGGAAAAAGGATGAATACATTAGCTATTTCCTTGGGTGTCAGGAAAATTTAAAAACGTGTAAACGAACTGCTTCTTCTCTTGCATATATTACTTCCATATCTTACTCTCAGGGAAACAAAGTGAAAAAAATTGCTTCCATAGATTTAAAGGTTGCTTAACTACATTAAATTATTACAATAATACGCTCTGACTTGTTTTAAAGATTCAAAATGCGACTCAACCGCTATCATTATTTGCAGAGGATTTGAATTTTAAAAGATTCATATGGTTTCTGTGAGAGAAGTTTCCTTTATATTTTACCTTTATAGTTCACAAACCTGAGAATCCTTTATCAAAAGTTGCAGGTGATAATCCTTGAGAATCTCCGTGTTGTTGTTTATTTCATCGATAGCCATCTGAACGGCGGGAATTATTCCTGCCGAGTTCCATCCACCGCCACTTGTGTCAATACCAAACAGTCCACCGATGTAAAGTGTTTCTTTAGCTTTACAGTGTGAAAAGATTAGGGGTAGAAGCAGGAAAAAGCAGAGTCTCTTCCTGGCCATTACGGTTTGTTTCGAATTAAGAAACGACGCGTCATTCATGTAGACTGTCGAGGGATTCGTTAGTATTATCTTTATAAATGCTTTCTTCTGATAAAAACGTGATGAAGTTAGTTTACACCTTCGGGTTTAAAAGGGAACAAATATTGATTAATGAAACATTAATTTCTAAGTCAATAATTGAACAATTCTCATCAGCGCTAGGTAGGCAATCGTCTACATGTGCGAAGGATTTGTTAACGATATTCCATAGAACAATAAAACCGTCTTTTTAATTAAAAGCACCAAAAGATTAAAATATTTGCAAATCTGCACCATCGTTTGGCATGGATTATAATAGTTTCATCTTCCAATGAGACTCCTCTTTAAGGTATTTGAACATCAAACACGGTCTCGGCGCTGAAGCAAAAGGATGCGCCAAGTTACAATAAATAAAAGATCTCATGAAGGATTGACGAATACTTTTTCGAGAAGTATAGATTACATGCTTATGCAGTTATCTAAACGCCGTTTCTAAACATTTCTTTTTACTTTTGGATGAAAGCAATAATGTCAAACGGTGAAAATCGTATCTCCCTGGATTAAGTTGGATGATGGTAAGCCAATCGAAAAAAATTAGAAAGCGAAAGCTTTCTATTTATTACTCCTTTTTATTTTCAATCAACAGCAGGTCGATAGCTCAGATTTTATCTTACCTTCATTATAGACCGGTGAATTTTTGTTTCTTGTTTCCTTTTCAATCACATATGCTCAGCTCCCTTTGCGAAAGAGGTCGTTGCACGATAGCCAATAGGGAAAATATGTCAATGATATAGTGTGTCCAAGACGTACACAGTCTATACTTAGTGATACTTAATGACTCCTGCGAAATTGAAAGCTTCTCTACCAACAAATATCCGTGGAAATCTGCATGTTTTTAATGCCAAAGCACTATCAACGTAACCGTCTAAAGCAATTAAAATGATATATGTGCCCCATTAATCTCAAATTCTGTGCAGAAAACGGATTATTTGCTTTGCTTAGGCGTGCTACATTATTAGAATTTATTTGTATTCATCACTGATTACAAACGGGTTTCTTGGAATAAAACAATGTGGAAATCCAAAAATAACCCACTATTTCTCTTCAAATAAAGTTTGAAACTTCTCAAAAACATGTAATGTATATATTTGCGTGACGACCATATTACTCCCACAGAAAATTTTTGGTATTACTTAGGAAGGAAAATAATGGCTCCTCAATTCTTATCAGCTGCGTCCAAATGGCTGTGTTTTGACTGTTTACAGGGCTAATTTAAACTAGTTTATGGTCGAAAATAGATGAAAAAGAACACCAGTGAAGGTAAAGGACTTGAAAATACTGATGACGTCTTTGGCATATCAATTAGCTTTAAACTGAAGTGGTTGTTTTTCCTCCTTCTCTTCTTCCTTTTCTGAATAACCTTCTCCTTTTGATTTTGTTATTCCACCAAACAGCATTTTTGAGAGACTCTTTTCAATCTGTGAGACTCTTTCCGATGATGCATCTCTTTTGGCCCAAGAGCATGCCAGGTCCCAATCAAGATGAAGAAGTGTGGGAGGGGGTAGTTGAAAAAACTTTCGAAGAAACTTTTATGCAAAATTTAATGTTTCCTCATTAGCACTAATGGGTTAATCAGTAAACAGACATTGCTTGCGACGGTTCTGGCATAGAATCAAGTATTGCTTCAACAAGATGGTGAGTAAACCCAGTAAACCACAGAACTCGGACAAAATCGAAAATGACGTATTTCCGAAAGCTCCTAAATATTCTTCACTCTCTTGAGTGTTTGTTTTCTTCAAATACGCTTGTAGGTAAATTATTACTCATGTAACTGAAAGGTTCCATTAAAACCATTTTGTTATCGGAAGACAGACTGACTCATTTAATTTGGAAGCGTGAAAAATAATATCGTACCTGTCGTTTCGATGTCAACATTTGATTGACAGCCTAAATTTTCTTTGTCTAGTAGATTTGTTCGACGGCTCTAGGAGACCAATAAGATGTTGATCGTGACTTAGAGTAAAGCTCTCAATTTCTCCCACGGAATATTGCACCGAAAGTTCCAGTTGTACTCATTTGCAACTTGTAAACTCTAATAATTGTACTAAATATCATTCTAGAAATTTAGTTTCAGAAGATTTCATTAAATTCAAAGTCAAACAAAAAAGCACTGACATGAATACAAATTTGGGCAAGGTGTTTAACGAGGGACAGGTGATTTTGATGTCGTCTGAAAAAAAATTATTTTCGCAAAAAATATTCATGGCAGCTCTGTTTCAACCTTTAAAAAAATCTTGCTTTTTCATTAAGTCAAGATGAAACGCAATTCAATAACACTTTAAAAACAGTCATTGGAAGAATAACCTTTTCGACTTTCCTTCATTCCTAAGACACAGCAATTAAGGCCTTAAAATGTTCAAAGAACATCATTTTGTATGATTATTTTCGTATTTATACGCAATCTGGAAATAGTTGACACTTCAGTTGTACTTTGTTCCTTAAAATTGGCGATTTTACAAGGCCATCTTAGAGAAAATGATATCCTGAAGTTAACTATCGCTAGTTTATACATACTAGACAAGAAAACTTACCTTTATAAACCTCAATTTGAACCAGGAAATCCAAGGAGTATAGATGAAATATAAGGGATTAAAAGCACCGCAGGGTCGGTTCGTATTTGCCCTTGTTTGATTTCACCTAGCTTTCTTGCTGCTGTTTGCGTTGCCCGCTTGAACATGCAACCTCAAGTGGGGTGTAAAATTAATTCTTTCACGTTATGAAATATTAGTTTGGACAAGATAAACACTCATGCAAATGATCGTGATGTTTATTTAATTTATTTGCTACTATGCCTTACTTTAAAAGTCTGCTCAAATTTGATAAAAAGTTTTGAATCAAATTTCTGTTAAGGAAAGTGGTCTTTGCTGAACAGTAGCGAACTGTGTTCAATTAACTGAGAAAAAAATGATACGGAAACAGAAAATGCAACTAATTTAAACAGAGAATATCAGAGAGGACGCCAAAAATATGAGACAAATACCGTGACAAAAGCATTTTACTATCCACAATAATGTCTGAGATCTACAATGCCTAATGCTTTACAGGTGGGCACTTAAATTAGGCAATCTTTATCCTGAATTCAGTGCATTATGTGTTAAGGAAGGAAATCCGTTTGCTCTTTACTCAAACTCCTTCGATCGCAAAATGAAACTAGTGCAACAAGCGTTGCGCCTATAATTAATTACTAAATAAATAGTAAATTTCGACGAACGACCTTACGACCGACCGTGCAAAGTGCTACTTTTAGCATACGCGGCCAATTGTATTGCGGGCACTATCTTAGCCATTATGTAGAGGAAGGGCAAGGGAGAAGCTAATGCACAGGCGCGATTGCGTGCGTAACTTGGAAACCTTACTAGTGTGCGCCAGTAGACACCGGCAGATGACAATGAAGTGCGTATACTCGATGTCCAGCTTTAGTGCAGCGTGCCGCGGGCATACGGTTAGGTATCACATGCGGGCTCTAGGTGGACTTGCAGATGTGAAGCCGCGTAAGCAAATTATTTGTAACACGCGGTTTGAGCGGAAAATCTATCGCCGAGGTTGTAGTTGAACAGTAATCCTCTGTATTTTGAAATTCCTAATAAACTCGCAAAGCAACAATACCGGCAGAGCTAAAGCTTTGTCAACCGGAGGAAATTGTTATAATCTAAGTTAGTGGAGAAAGGGTTTGAATGAAAATAGACTGAAAAGAAAGAGACAGAACGACCAAAGAAAGAAAGAAGTAAAAGGCGTAAAGCCAGCCGAGAAAAAAGGCGCAAGAAAGTTAGGAAAGACGCTAAAAAAGCAGAATACGGCGAGAGGAACGTGAAAGAGAACAATAAAAGGCATAGGTTAAAAAGGCGAATATCTTGCGAAAAGCAACATGAAAAGGAAATAAAAAAACTCCAGAAAACAGACTGAAAAGAAGTCATCAGCAAAGAGAAAGGGAACTACAAAGGATCAGAGAAAGAGGTAAGTCGTGTCTTACCAGGGTTTTTTCTCACGCTACGGCCCAGAAAAATTCAAACCTTTTTTTTTTCTTCGGCATTAATTGCTTTAAAATCCTCGCGCTAGTTCATTGTTCGGATAACATTTCGAAGTCACCACAAGTTATCGTTTGGAAACACTTACCATTAAAAAACTTGTTACTGGTAGCTTAGGTCTTAAATGTTTAAATTTTCATGGGAGATGCCTTCTTTGAAAGTGGGGATACAGAAGTTTTTCAAAATTGCTGGACCACAATAAGAACTACTGGTTCATTATTTATTTATTTATTTATTTATTACTTGAAATAAGCTGTTTGCAAGAAACGAAAAGAAAATTGACAATCATACCCTAATGCTTGACATGATTCACTCATACATTTCAATCGTGTATACCCATCACTGAAGAGCTGTCTTTAAAAATGTTTTTTGATATGGCTGTTGTTCATTAAAATTCCTTGTTTTAGAACAGATCTTGCTAACATTTCACTTTTTCAAGGATATTTTGGCCTTTGTCGATATCGATTTTACTGGCTTTTTTAACTTTAAAGCACTTCTACTCGCTTATATAGCGAGCCTCGCATCGATCTATAACATTCTTTCCTCGTAGCAAAGATCACTGATTCTCAAGGGACTGACTTAGTGAATGATGAAATCGCAGTAAGTGCAGGTAATCTTAATTGTAATTTTCTTTCACGGTTTATTTCATTAATTCTAAGTTTTTACTGCCCTATAAAATGTAGAAATGCTATGTAGGCACATGTCATGCTCGGCTAGTTCTCTTATTTACCAGTTAGTCAGTCGAATTGTGCGTATTGAATTTGACGGGGTGCGGTAAATCTGTGTTTATTGTATTCACTTGACCGAACTGATAAGTCATTCCTCTGTTTCCCTCGCGTTCTCTTCTTTTGTTTTAGAAGCAGATGCTGGATCCACCTAAAAAGCACGACACTGTCAGTAAGAACAAAAGACAGAAATTTTCTTTCGAACCGAGCTCGTCGGGAAAAAATACTTTGCTTTAATTTTTTCTCAGAGGGCAAATCTTATTTAAGAATTTACTTACAATTACTTTCCTTTCCATTACTAACTGAGCAGAGGTGATCTTCGTATGCTAAACATCGATGGAAGTGAATAGTACTCTCCGTAAGATCACTGAATATATTGAAGAAAAAATTTTGGTGCATGGCAATCATTGAACTTGAGTTTGTTTGCCAAACCAGTACCATTGTTTTTGTTCAAAAGTGTACATATGCCATTTTTTCTCTAATTGACAGCCGTCAGATTGTGACAGATACTTGTAAAAAAAGATGTTTCAAGTTTGTTTGAAAGCCTACTAAATCACCTTTATCTGCTACAGAAATAAAATTTTTTCTGTGAAGCCTCTCTCTTTAATTTCCATTACCCCCCTTCTACTACCATTTACTTACTCAAAAATTGTTCTGTTTAAATAGGATCTCGCCTTAATTACAGCCTAAATCATTGGGGTTCTTTTGGCAAGTATTTCGTTCAGTTTTAGAAACGAATAAAAATGTTATTCACCAGCTTAGGTCGGTCCCTATTGGGAAGAACTGTGTCCGAGGTCCTGAGTACCACTCAAGGCCGAAGGCAAAGGACGGCCCTTAAGACAGAGGGTAAAGTTTTTCCCCCAATACGTACCTCTCGGCTGGAGAATAACATATTTATTTACTTTGGCTGATTGTGTTTTTACCTTCGTTGACATTCTTCCACCTTGTATGGTTGAGCCAGTAGCATTTGAAAAACTATTTTCGTCCGCGGTTCTTAAGAACATTATCTACAATAAATGATCAATATGATTTAGTCTCAAATTCTAAAACTAAAACGTCGTTGTCATGGCGATGGTACAATTTTGTTTCCGGCTTTGTTGAGCATCACTGTGATGTACATATAGCTGAACCCTTGACGTTTATGGGGAAAAATTTAATTTCGCTAGTGTCGCACACTATAGACGACACGGAAACTTACTCATGAAGATGTTTCCTATATATATTTCTGATAGAATGCTTTAATCATTTGTACGAAGTGGCTAAAGAAGCAAACGTAATCATGGCACAACTTGAAGCTTAGTTCTCAAAATTTTTTCGATAAACTAACCTTTGGAACGAAAACAAGACTCAGGGTAAATGAGGTACAGAAGATGGTGAGGAACGAGGACAAGGAGAAGTGAATGGTAGGTCGGTCAGCGACAACACCAAGAATAGGAAATACGAGGATACAAGGAATGATGACGTTATAAACGGACGAGCCAATCAGTTTGCTGTCATTTAAAGCGGGGATATGCACTTTGCGGGTTTCCCAGGCCAAGTAGGCTCCAAATAATAACAACAGGCCTAAAGATAGAAAGCAATGAGATAAACGTCACGTTGATAAGTAAATAATTAGGACCAGTCGTTTGTGCTCTTTTTCCAGAGAAGAGACATTTGATAAATCTCAGTGAATATAATAGCTTGGTGAATCATTTTATGAGCGGTTTATTCGCATGTCTCATCGTGAACATTGTTCGCTAGAACTGAATTTGCATTGACGTTAACACTCGAATAAGTTTATTTAACCTTAATTTTATCCAGTTTTATTTCCTTGAAGAAAAAGACAGAATGGAAATCATCTGGTCTCAGAATAAATGATCCAGTGTGTTTACCGCGCATGACTGTAGAAGCTTATACTCTCTGGTGTGTAAAGTGGGATCTTTTAAGAGTCAGTGTGTGACACTGATCATCTCCAAAACAAGCACAGATCACTCTCCAAAGGAGAATCTCCTATATTCTCAATGCAAGATACGCTGTGTCATCCATCAACATTAAAAGTCTCTGACTACTACCTTTGTACAGGTATATGCAAGGTAGCCATATCATTATGTTCTCGCAGGTACACTTGGTTACATACGGTTGTATGCCAGTGTCATCCTCTTGTGATACCTGTAGTAAAAATAAGAGAATTATATAAAAATAATCTAAGGTACTGTAGAAAAAATTAATTTTTGGCAATCCTTGTCCTCGTTCCTTGCCATCTTTTGATGACGTGTAGAAGATCAATGTGCACTACTAAGTGCCACATTAGAAGGTAAACTGTCCGTTATAGTCTTAGATTTTCCAAGAATTGATAAATTTAAGTCTGTCCATTTCAGTGTTGTAGAAAATACATAACTTAGCACCCATAAACACTTAGGTTTTTGGAATGAAAAAGATTTTCGCCATCTTGGTCACATGCCCTAATTTCCCTGAAGTTTCTCGGCAAAATATAGTGCGGTGACCGTTGATGTTTCGATGAAATAGGCAACCAAGCCTAACATAGCTGTCAAAGTTTGAAAATATTTTTAGGTTTGCTAAAACTTGCAAGTCATTACAGGTTTTGGTGGCATAGGTGTGCGTTGGAAGAGATCCCCCCAGAGAGGCGAGTGAGAGCTTTCTTTTCCCTTAAGTTCAAAATCTCACGAACTGTTTAAAATTTTTGCTCCTTACCTGCAGCGTCAAGTTTTCTACTTTATTTGTCAATGGGTCGACAATCTGCCACGTGACGAGAATTATGATATCAATTAAAAGAAGAACAGCAACCATACCAAACAACTGACGGTCCCGGATGATAACCTGCAGGGAAATTATTCATAACAAATCGCGCTTAGGCATCTTTCTGGCTCTATCTTACAGTTGTATCTATCTATCCATCTATCATTTATTTATGTCTCCATCTACATATTTATCTTTCTACCTATCTGAACTTCTATTGTTTATCATTTATCTTGCTCTTTTGTCTGCTTATACTTTATGTCTGTCTCTCTTTCTGACTTTTTCTCTGTCTATTTATTGACAACGACTCGCAGAAATATGAGTAACCTGTAAAAAATTGGATCGATGTTTAATTTTAAAGTTGATCGTTTGATTTTATTCAATCCTGGGTGACTCAATTGTCCTAAGGGGGAAGTTGGGTGAAATGGCATTTGATAATTAGAAAAACTGGAAAAAAATCGGAGCAAGTACAAAAATTATCTTATAAACAAAAAGAACTGAAAGTGGTTAATGTCACAGGTTGTCAAAACTTTAGATAAAGAGAAAATCTTTGAAGAATTTGCTCAGTATGCACTCACCCTTTTTGTAGTTTTAGCATTGAGAAATATCACATGAACTCTCCAGGTTTTGCTGAACATCGCTCCAAAGCCCAAGCTGAATCCAATCATTGCAATCCATAACTCCAACTAAGTAAAAAAAGTTTCCAAGGAATGAAGTAAGTGAGCGTCGCTGTTTATATTTTTTTAATTGATTGTTTGCTATTAACTCTTTCCTTGAGAAAATTCAGTCCATTATCTTTCCTTAGCTCTCATACATTCCTTCAAATTAATTGATGAAAAATGATGAGGTCAACAGATACCCTGCTTTTAAACCATTTCATTGCTCCATAAATTAGTGCCTTCAGAAATTGCTTTGTTAACTGATTCCACGAAAAAGATCAGGTCGAAGATATGAAGTTCAGATATCATGGCTTATAAAATTTAGGAATTGCAATTTACGACAGCCAAAAACAGATCTGGTTGATTTTTTTGAGGAAGATACGCATTTACCTGGCACAAATAACTTCCTTGCTCTTTGTCTAAGCCGAACAGTACACCCGCCACGTAAATAAGTATGCAACCAGCTATGATTACGTTATTAAGATTAGGTGAAGACATTTTTATGTACCTAAAGAAGGGAGAAAAATAAAGCCAAATTATATTAATGATGATGGCCCAGCTCCTTGATTCCCTTTATTTTATTATTATTATTATTATTATTATTGTACCATTATTCATTAACCTTATACCTCGTTAAAGGCGTTATTGAGTATTGCGTGACGCAACGTTTGGTTGTTTGAGCATTTGAACATTGTTGTTAAAGATCTTCATTTCGGGGACGAAAGATTTGTATTCGGCGTTCTTTCTTTAACAAACAAAAACAAAAACAAAACTGTGAAACAGATACCTGATATTTTGGTTGTATACATTGAATATGAGGAATGCGATGGCCATCAGAACTCCGAGGATTGATACAGCAATGACAAACCACAAAACCCCTGGATCGACTCCTTCCAGCTTTTCTTCTATTCTTAGACCATCGACGGGGACTTTACCACCTTAACGAGCAGAAAAAAAAATTTCACTCTGATGAAGAAGAGGTGCGGAAGGTAAGGTTTTTATATATTAATCTATATCAAACTAGATCATAACACATGCGATCGTGTGATCGTAGTGTTACAATTATCTTCCCTCGCTAAGATAAAAGATCAGTAATACAAAAGTTATTTTCCTCTGTAAATGTATAATAAAAGATCTTAGCGCAAATGGCACTTCAAATTTGATGCTTCTCCTTGAAAAACTAGTTGCGGTTTCAAGTTTAAAAAAAGAGATTCTCTAGAAGTATACAATTACTTCAAATAAAATAAAATAAAGTTATATATCTGTAACATGAATCTTACCATCCCATAAGTAAACACTATTGCTATCCTCTTCGAGAGTGTCTTTTTCCATGTCGTAGAATGCAACTCTTCGTTGGGTATTTCCTACACGACGAGACAAACAAAAAAGATTGGCTTTGAAGGTATACCAAAGACCTTTAGCAGGGTGTCACACGAGAAAAGCGACAAAAATTTACCGCACACGGTCAGTACTTGCCTTGTATTTGTCGGACCTCAAGTTTTGTTATACGATCATGATTACTGTCGAACTTCACCTGGCCCTACAAATAAATTGAAGAGTTGAAATTCAATAATCTGGAGAACGGCTTTTCCTTCCAAACAACAACCACAGATTGCTAACACAGCCCTCGCGACTGAGTGCAACTTACTGTCATTCCAGCGAATGAAATCCTCTTCATTATGTCGACAAAGACTTTGCTCACGTTAGGAAGGCTATAGTTGAATTCATTGAGTTTGAAGTTTTGTTTTTCCAAGACATTAATTGATGCGTTGAGAGTCAGTGCGCATGTCCAGGCCGCGTCGTATCCATAAGAGGCAAACGTATTTTCGGAATATCCCGAGTTGTTGAGGCGTTCTAGATATTCAGTGTAGAGTTCTTGGGGCGTCTGAGAAAAAATGACCAAAAAAAAATGACTGCCGAAGATATCCAGTCAATGTGTGTGAGCATAAAACTTCATGACCGTGAATCATTTCTTTTAAGATTAGAAACCTCTCATTTAGGAATTATTCTATCGCGGGTACGAGTAAAGCGTTGGTCACATTATTGAAACTACAAATAGGTCAAAGTTTTCCTCATATCTTTATTTAAGTATGTTAAAAAGTTGTCTCTATGCTTAGTGTTGAAACTTGTATTGTTATATAATATTGTTTTTCTATACGTATTTTTCGTGGCTTATTGTTATGTCAACCCTGTATGGTATATAAAAGAAATTATATTTTCTCTCGTTCTTAGTCATTTATTTAAAAAACTCAGGTTTGGAAGGTTTGTCGTCAGCTATACACTGTACATGTTTCTCCCTCGCGTCTCCTCACGTAAGAGGAGAGACAACGATTTGGCTTGGGGTTATGTTACATACCTTTCCAAATTTAGTTGGTCCTGAGACAGGACTGAGTTTCAATTCTGCAGTTCCGATATTGTTACTCAGGCCTTTTCGCACTTCTTCCGGTGTACAATCCACTAGAGGACTCTGCACTTTCCACCAATTGTCCTGAAGTCGACCAGAGAACAAAATCCACACATATTTCGGTCCATACATACCTTTCTTGAAAGCCTGTAGATTGTAATTAAGACAGAAAATAACTGATTTACACGTGAAACGATTATCAATTCTTGACCAATGTAATAATTTTGTTATAATAGTCGTACTTTGGGTTTCAGCGTTTATGTATGGATATTTCTCTAATCTTGCAAACGGACCTTAATGTTGTTGTACAGAGTCTCTGTTAATTGAAGGCTCCAGTTAATTTAAAGTTTGCCGTTCCTTTCTTTTTCAGCCATTTACGATCAGTCGTTGACAAGAGATTATAAACTGCAAGAGATCTATGTACAGTTTATAAGCTCTTTTTGTTCATCATGGTATGTCTCCCTTCTAGTTACATCGTAAATGAAAGTATGGGTTCAATGCCATCTTCCATTCAGAGACGGGAGCTAACGATCGTTTCTCGCTCACTCTGGAAAGATTGACAATTCATCGGAGATGAAATTTCTTACTTTACGCCCTTACCTCACAAAAGGTGATATAATGTTGATCTTGATAGAAAAATGCAAAGATGATACGGGCATCTTTCCTCTAAGGGATTGAAAGTAGCATTTATGTAAAGTGTATGCCATAACCCGCTGAGGACTTGAGACTGGATAAAAATAACCTCACTTACGTAATTACCAAGACTATCAGAGTAAACTGGGTTTTCTTCTTTCTCCTGATCAGTACTGTTTTCAATAAACCAATATGATATTCATTCCGAAGTGACGAGGGGTACATTGTTTAAACACTTAGCATGAAATGTCTCATGAAAACAAAACGAAACTTAAGTAGTTTACCTTCAGGTTCTCTATGGCAATCTTCGGATGATCTTTGAAACTCTCGTAGGCAAGTACGGTTATATTGGTAGCACCCAGCATATCAATAAGAGAGTTGCTGATTCCTGTGAAAACGTCGTTGTTTTGTTGCAGAATGGCAACTTTCTTCCAATTGAATCGTCGAAGAATCGCAATTCGTCCCAGATTGGAGAATTTCTCCGAAGGGTTGGTTCGAAAGTAGAGGGGAAAAACGGCTTTGGACGATAGCAATGGGGAAGAATTTGAGAAGCCAATCTAAGGAGAGGGAAATTTAGATTATGCTCTTGTTATTATTTTTTTTTTAAAAGCCCTTCTTTCTTTCTTTTTTTTTTTTTACATTCTCTCCATTTGTTTTCATTTGAATACAATTCCGAGGACGACACCTTCATTCCAAGCAAAGTTCTCAACAGGTTTGTATTCATTTATCTCTAATTGCAGGAGTAAAATATTGCCAAAAACCTGTTAATAAATGAAAACCAGTCATAGTGCGTTATTTAATGTTCCTATCTCGAGCTGTCGTGATCTTTGCTTTTCACATTTCCCCAGCTTCATTAAAAAAAGCCAATTATGTGATTTATGAACATAGCAGATAAGATAACTTACCTGCACAATGTTCCAGTAATGAATGGCTTCCGCTACTGGCATTGCGGCTTTAGAGCATCCGGGGCTTAGAAACATGATTTTGGGTCTCCCGGATGATATGTACTCCAGGGTTCTGCGGACAGCCTCGCCAACATTGCACTGAGTGTTAAAAAAATGAAAAGTCCAAATCTATTCTGAAATTAATCTAGACTGCCTCTACATTGACTATCGGAATTAGATGTGTCATTTCATGATCATCCAGTAAACCTTAATTAATATGACAACCTTTAATGATCCTTCAAATCGCTTGCATGTCCCAAACTGAAGAAACAAACTTTCTTGGACAGAAATTAAATTTCTTGAAGTTATCGCGAAAATAAGCAATTTTATGTCATTGTGCCGATCAAAACTATAAACAAGAATGACCTTGATACGTAAAAATGTTTGATACCCCATTGGTTACTCAAACATCAGAAAATTTGTAATCCAAGCTGTGCTAACAAGACCCGTGTAAGCGTTGGGACAAAGGATGAATACGTGAACTATTTCCTCGGGTGTCAAGAGAATCTCGAAATATGTCAACTAACTACTTCTTATCTTGCGTATATTATTTCCTTACCTTACACTCAGGAAAACAAAGAGGAAAAATTGCCTCAATAAATTTAAAGGTTGTTTAACTACATCAATTTATTACAATAATCTCTGAATTGTATTGAAGATTTAAAGTGCGACACAATATTTACAAAGGACTTGAATTTAAAAAAGCTTTTTACGGTTTCTGAGAGAGAAGTTTCCTTTACATTTTACCTCTACAGGTTACCAACCTGAGAATCCTTTATCAAAAGTTGCAGGTGATAATCCTTAAGAATCTCTGTGCTGTTGTTTATTTCATCGATAGCCATCTGAACGGCGGGAATTATTCCTGCCGAGTTCCATCCACCGCCACTTGTGTCAATACCAAACAGTCCACCGATGTAAAGTGTTTTTTTAGCTTTACAGTGTGAAAAAATTAGGGGTAGAAGCAGAAAAAAGAAGAGTCTCTTCCTGGCCATTACGGTTACTTTCGACTTAAGAAACGACGCGTTATTCTTGTAGACTGTCGAGGGATTCTTCAGTATTATCTTTATAAATGCCTTCTTCTGATCAAAGCGTGATAAAGTTAGCTTACACCTTCAAGTTTAAAAGGAACAAATTTGGTTAATAAAATATTAATTTCTGAGTGAATAATTGAACAATTCTCACCAATACTCGGTAAATACACGTATACATGTGCGAAGGATTTGTCAACGATATTCCTTAAACACAACATAACCGTCTATTTAAAAGCACCCAGAAGAGTAAAATATTTTTTTAATCCGCATTATCGTTTGGCATGGATTATAATAGTTTCATCTTCTGATGATTTCCGTCTTTAAGGAATTGGGCCTCAAACACGTTCTCGGCGCTGAAGCAAACGGGTGAGCGAAGAAAATTTTTATAAGTTGCAGTGAACGAAGGGTCTCATGAACATTTGAGGTCGATGGCTCAAAGTTTTTTTTCCTTCATTAATCATAGATTGTTGAGTTTTTGTTTCCGGTTTTCCTTTTAAATCACTTATGCTCAGCCCCGTTGGTTTTTGCGAAAGAAGTCGTTGCGCGATAGGCAATGGGGAAACTGTGTTTATAACATAGTACATTCTGCACGTGACGGAAAGTTCTATACTTAATCATTCTTGATGTTTTTTACGAAATTGAAAGCTTTTCTCGATCCCATAACGAAGATAACAAGTTCGTGCAGTCTTTTTCCTATCAACAAATACACAAATTTGCATGTTCTCGTCTCGTTCTGAAGTTTTCATTGATTTCGAGTCATGGTTAGAATTTTCATTCGCAAACATGTCGCACAAGTCGTGGCAAGGTCGGCAAGCATTCTTCAATCAATAGCTGCAAATCAAAAATAACCTGATGTTTTTGAGTGCTGTGCCCTTTGGTATTTGTACCACAGAAAAGGAAATGATACTTTATTTACAGGTTAGAGTTCCTTCGACGGGAAAAAAGTTATAATAAATAAATTGAAATAATATGGAAGCTGTAAAATATAATTCTATTTGTCCCACGAATTCAAAGTCGAGCTGTTTAGAATTCCTTGAACTAGCTTCGCAAGGAAAGCATACAATAAAGTGAACGTCAAGTTAAGTCATTTATGTAATTTGCTGTGTCACTCTTTGGTCCACACGCTTTAAAAGAAAGAAAAAAATGCTTTTATAGCCAGAACTAAGTTAAAATTAGGCTTTCAGAAAAGCATAGATTGTAAAAGTGAATTATGAAGCTCTCTGATGACGTCATCGGCATATCAATTAGCCATAACGATATTGACTTTCTGTAGACTGAAATGGTGTTTGGTTTTTTCCTCCTTCTCTTCTTCCTTTTCTGTATAATCTTCTTCGTATGGTTTTCTTATTCCACCAAACAGCTGTTTTGAACGATTGTGTTCAAAGTTTTCTTTCTGTGAGAGACTCTTCCTTCTCGTGGTGCATCTCTTTTGGCGCGGGCACCCAATCAAATAAAAGAGTTTGGTAGGGGGTAGTGGAAAAACTTTCAAGGAAACTTTTATACAAAATTGAATGTTTTCCCATGAGCACTGATGGGTTTATCAGCACATAGACATTGCATAGAATCAAGTATCGTTTCAAAAAAATGGTGAGTAAACCCAGGAGTCAAAATAAAAATGACGTATTTCCGAAGGCTTCTAAATTTCTTTTACTCTCTCAAGAGTTATTTTTCTTCAAAACCGCCTGTGGGTAAATTATTCTTAGTGTAACTGAAAGTTTCAATTAAAAAAGTATTTTGATATCGGTAAATGAGTGACTCGTTTAATTTGGAGGCTTTCATACGCCGCAGGTTATATTGTGAAAAATATCGTACCTGTCGTTTCAATGTCAACATTTGATTGACGGCCTAAATCTTCTTTGTCAATTTAATAGATTTGTTTGATGGCTCTAGGAGACCAATAAGAAGTTGAGGTAAAGTAAAACTCTAAATTTCTCCCGCGGAATACTGCACCGAAAACCCCAGTTGTACTCACTTACAACTTATAAACAACTCTAATAAAATCAGTAAATATTATTCTAGATATTTAGTTCCAGAAGATGTCATGAAATTCAAAGTCAAACAAAAAAGCACTAACATGAAGACAAATTTAAGCAGAGCGTATAACAAGAGGCAGGAGTTTTTGATGACGTCTCTTAGGAAAAAAAGCGATCCGCGTTTTCTTTAAAAGAAATTGATTTTCGCAAAGGATGTATTAATGACAGCTCCGTTTCAACCTTTAAAAGTCTTCCTTTCTCATATATTCAAAGTAAAGCGCAATTCAATCAAGCTTTTAAAACATTGTTAAGAAAAAGAACCTTTTTGACTTTCCTTCATCCAGCTTAAGCTTTAAAATGTAAAAAGAACAACATCTTGCATGGTTATTTTTGTACTCATACGCAATCTGAAATTGTTAATTTTACCAGGCCATCATAGAAAGAAAATGATTTCCTGAAGTGAACAATCGCTAGTTTAAACATACTTGACCAGACAACTTACTTTTATAAACCTCAATTTTGAACCAGGAAATCCAACGAGTATATATGAAATACGAGGGATTGAAAGCCCTGCAAGATCGGGTCGTGCTTACACTCGGTCGGTTTCACCTAGCGTCTTGCTGCTTTTTACTTTGCCTGCCTGAACATGTAATCGCAGGTGGGGTGTAAAATTCATTCTTTAATTTCACGTTATGAAAATATTACTTCAGATTAGATAAACACACATGCAAATGACCATGATGTTCATTAAGTTTTATTGCTATTACCTTATTGGACAAGTGGCTTAAATTCGTTAAGAAATTTTGAATCAAATTTCCGTTCAACTAAGTAGTTTTTGCTGAAAAGTAGCGAAGTATTTTCAATTAACTGAGAAACAAATGATACGGAAACGGAAAATGCAATCACTTTAAACAGAGAATATCCAGCTTTGGCCATTATACAGAGACAGGCGGAGGTGAGGGCATCATGTTAATGAAGTTGCGTCAAAGCAGAGAACTCGATTTGATGAAGGAAAGCTAAAAATATGAGACAAATACCGTGACAAAGGCAATTTAATATCCACAATCGGATATCTTAGATCTAAAATGCCTGATGCTCTACAAATGGGCTTTTAAATGCGGCAATCTTTATCCTGAAATCATCCATTATGTAGTAAGGATGCAAATCTGTTTGCTCTTAACTCAAAACTCACTCGATCGCAAAATGAATCTAGTGCAACAAGCGTTGTGCTTAATTACTACCGGTCAATAACTGGAAATGTTCAACGTGATGGTTCGTCATTTGCATGATATACTCAGAAAAGAAAGATGTTATTTTAAGCCTGTGCGCTAAATCGTGACCATTTTAATTGTCTCTAGTCGCTAACTTATTTTTCTGGTTTCGGAGTCATTTTGCATCAAACCTTAGTTTGTTTTACAGTATTTCTCAAAATTGACCCGCTTTTTTAGATGAAACGGACAGGGTAACGTTGAAAACACAGTTTTGACTCGTCAAAAATATTAGTAGAACAACGAATGAAGGCCAAACCTTAAACGGGAGCGCAAATTGCCGTAAATTAACTCTCCCCGTGTATCTTCAATTTGTGTTTGTCTACTGCTTGTGTGTGAGCCAAATTTTACCTTCTTATTCCTCACCTGGTGTTTATCCCAAACGATTAATCAACTCGAAGGACTTATCAATCTCCTTTTAAAAACTCACCTTCATAAGTTAACGCTTCTGTTAGAAGTATTTTGTAACACTTCCTGTGCAGTTGATACCTTCTTTATTTCCTTTCCTAAAAGTAAACACAACTTACTTGCTAAAGGACTAGCTCTGCTTTCTCAAGGAAAGTGTTGGTCACCAGCTTAAAAGGGTGACAGTTTTCAGGCTGTCAATCTTTGGCCATCGTCATTATTTCTCACTTAGCTAACCAATCATGTTAAGTTACGCGAAACAGATCCCGCATACTAAGTATGCACCTTCGGGATGTTGACTCTCTACAAAACGACTTTCTACGGAAAAATTTCATAATGCTGCGGTTAAGATTGGGCAAAACATGAACAAGATTGGCAATATGAAAATTATAGAAAACATATTGACTAAATTAGAATTACACTTGAAAAGATATCTTCAGAGAAAATAGCTTTTGAAGATTGTTGCGTAATAACAGAATAAACAGAGAAATTGAAGAAGAAAGGGCGTACTCAAGGTACCGCCCTAAAGAACTACCTGCTGTTCATATAAATAACTGATTATAAATTCAGTGCAAAGAATGAAAAGAACAAGTTGTTCATACCTTTAATCACCTTCAACAAAGAGGTGTTGAGAGTGCTAAATTAAAGAATTTGGAATTACTTACTCTACTTACAAAGTAAGACAGCCAAAGAAATAAGAAATGATCAACTAGCTTAGGATATTTTTCACTGAATGGCTTATCCTAATATGCCATTTCCATTCATTTTAATGACACATATACAGAAAATTCTTGAACCCCAGGTCCAGATGAGACATAGCAAAACAGGTTTTACAGTTGCCAGCCGTTACCAGGTGCAACTAATTGTGAATAACTTTTTCCCGCCTTAAAAGATGGAAATTTTCTCAAGATGCGTATGATATTTCTAAATGAGTTACTATTAGAAAACAAACGACGAGTTTCTCATTATAATGCTTAATTCAATAGTACCTGCCCTCAGTGGTTTGAAAATGTTTTCCATACCTCTGTTATGTGAATGAAAGTGATCCTCGCAGTAATGTGCACTACTTAGGCAATAGTGAAAATAAGGCCTGTGCAGGATTTGAACCCATGACCTCTGCGATACCGGTGCATTTCATCGGTCGCTACCTTCCACGGGATGTCTTTTAAGACATCTCATCGGAAACTGACAGAATTTGATAACAAAAAAACTGCGAGCAAAATACGTATACGCGTAACACGTTGCGGGGCGCGAAAAAAGAGATGACATATCTGTCGAAAATAAGATTTGTAGGACAGTAAAACAAAAAGAAAAGAATTTATTCAATTTCGAGTAAATTTCTGACAAAAATCAACTAGTTTGTATTTAATCATGTTCATGTTGTTTTCAGAGCCTCCCCTATTAATATTAGGTTTGCCTCTGTCCCCAATGTCATTCTATTGTCTTCTGCTCAAATTTCTTGGGGGTGATACAAAGAGCGTATTTTTGCCAGATCACACTAGTGGAGTTATCAACGTATTTTCAAAATGGCGTCTGTCGCCGCATGCCATAGGCTAAAGTGGCCATTTTTCGACTGGAAATTACCTTCTGTGGACAAATTCAGTTCTTGGAAATGTTCGTTATACAACTAAGAAGTTGTTTGCAACGACATCATTTAACCGCAGCCGCCTACTGTTTTATGACAAGTCGTGCTACTCCTTCAATTTACCAAGGCTTAAATTAGTGGGCTTAATCCATCCAAATCCTGGTCCTACCACAGAAGCAACGACCAATATTAACAACTCATGTCAAAACCGTAAACCACAGCTAAATATCAATTGCCTTTATATGAACGCTCGAAGCATTGTCAATAAGGTCGACGAGCTACAAGTCCTCGCTACAAACATGGATGTGTTGGCTATTACCGAGACATGGCTAACACCGGTCATCAACAGCTGCGAGATATTGCCCAATATGAACTTCACTATTCATAGGAGAGACAGATTTGAGCATAACAACAAACGCGGAGGAGGCGTCCTGTTAGTAGTTCGTAATACAGTGCCATGTGTTAGAAGGCCTGGCCTCGAAACCTCAGCTGAAATTGTTGTTTGCGAGCTTCGTCCGTCGTGCAAAAAAAAGATATTAATGGCAGTTTTCTACCGCCCTCCTTCTTCTGATTATCTCTGTTTGAAAGAATTTATGAAATTTCTGGACCAAGCCTCCAGGGCTAAATTTGATCAACTTTTGATTGTTGGTGATTTCAACTTACCAGACGTCGACTGGGCTACCGTAACTGCCTCTATCGATTGTCAGATGTACACCCTCTTTACTAAGGCAATTAAGGATCATTTTCTTTGGCAATTTATAGATTTCCCAACCAGGAATGATCATATTTTGGATTTACTGCTCACAAATATTCCAGACAAGATTTCAAATTTTAAAGGATCTCAGGATATTTTGAACTCAGATCACCAACTTATTGAATTTTCCTTGGACCTTCGAATCAAGAGCCAACCACATATTAAACGACGACTATATAGTTTTAAGAAAGCTGACTGGAACGGCCTCAAACATTCACTCAGTTTGATCAACTGGGACCTGTGTTTTGAGGAAAACGACATAAACACTTCTCTTACTAATTGGTCTGATACGTTCCTCGCGGCTGTTAACCAGCACATTCCAACGAGCAAACCTCGAAATGTAAATGAGCACCCATGGATTGACCACCAACTTCTGAATCGAATTAAAGTAAAAAACAAATTGAGAAAAGCGGTTATCAAACGTGGAAGTACTCTAGACCATGACCGGTTTAGACAAGCAAGACGCGAGGTTAAAGCAATGATTAAGATGAAGAAAAAGCAATATGCAACTAAACTGAAGGATTCGCTTCTCACCAATATCAGACGCTTCTGGTCTTTAGTTAAATCTATGACCGAACAAAACCGGTCACTTGGTTTCTTGAGGGATGGTCAACGCTTTGTCACGAACAACAAAGAGAAAGCAGACTTACTTAACAACTTTTTTCAATCAGTATTCAGTCCTAACAATGGTACTTCTGAGTCTTACCAAGAGCCATCTACTATACCGGTTCATCATTTAAGTGAAATCCCGCCTTACAATTTCAGAGGTAATTAAAGTTCTGCCAGACATTGATGTAAACAAAGCACATGGCCCCGACAACATTCCTGGTAGATTGCTGAAGGAAACTGCACCTGAAATTGCCTCTCTCGTCTGCCGTCTGTTTAACCTATCGTTGTCTCTCAGCAAGTTTCCCGATCAGTGGAAATTAGCTAATGTATGTCCTGTCTACAAATCCGATGATCCCAGATTACCCAAAAACTACCGCCCAATTTCATTACTGTGCATTATATCCAAATGCCTAGAAAGATGTGTCTTTAACCACTGCTATACCCTCATCTCGCCACAACTCTACCATCTGCAGCATGGTTTTCTTAGAGGAAGGTCTACTGTTACTCAGCTCCTCCAGGTCTATCACGAAGTGATTCAAGCCTTAGCCAAAGGCAAGGAGATTGACATAGCTTATTTAGACTTGGCTAAAGCATTCGACAAAGTCCCTCGTTGTGCCTTGCTGAATAAGCTATCTCGATTCGGAATATCTGGGCAGCAAATAAACTAGTTTCCGAGCTATCTCTCTGGTAGATATCAACGAGTAGCACTACAAGGCACCTATTCCGACTCGTTACAAGTCTTGTCCGGTGTTCCTCAGGGCTCAATATTGGGCCCTCTTCTTTTCCTTTTCTATATAGACGACATTCATCAATGTATTAAACATGACTCTAAAGTTGCCATATTTGCAGACGATTCTAAGCTGTTTAAGATAATTGAAAAACCATCGGATAAATTTTCATTTCAACAAGACCTAACGCAGCTCTCAATCTGGAGTGATACCTGGGAAATGTGTCTCAGCATACCCAAATGTAAGGCCTTGAATATGTACGTGTAACAAATTTCAATAAAGTAATAAAGTAAAGAATACTCAACTGGAAAGAAAAGGGCTTCAAAGTCTTGGAATCGACATGTTAATGGTAATATCTTGCCGAATTTTCAAGGATATTCTGACCTTTGTCGATTTTACCAAGCACATCTACTTGCTTCCACAGAGAACACATCGGACTATTACCTTCTTTATTTGTTGCAGTAAGATCTTTGATTCTTAAGGGACTGAATTAGTGAATAATGAAATCGCAGTACGTACAGGTAATCTTTATGGTAATTTTCTCTCACGGTTTATTTTTTTCATTCGATTTAACTTTTCACTGCAGTGTAAGCATTCTATTTAGGCATTTCTCATGTCTGGCTAGTTCTGTCATTTTCAGTTTAGTCAGTCGAATTTTGTGCATTGTATCCCATTTGACGGAGCGCAGTTAATCTGTGTTTATTATATTCTGGGCACCAAGCTGATAAATCACTCTTCTGTTTCTCTCGCGTTCTCCTCACTTGTTTTAGAAGCATGTAATGGTTCCACCTGAAAAGCACGACACTGTCAGTAAAAAAACAGATTTCTCTTTTGGACCGAACTGGTTAGAATAAATGAAAGGAGAACAAATACAAGCAGATATTATCCTCTGTACGTTTCGTTTATGTCATTCAATACACGTACGTACGTGGTTTCGCTTCCACCAACAACATTTTTTTGGATCTTAAAAATGGTACACGATAGCATTAAACATGACTTAAAGCTTGCTTCTATTGTTTGTGTCTACTCTGTTTACCTGAACAGAAAAAAGGATTAAGGGGAATAGTTTGCGGGCGAATAACATATTTATTTACTTTGGTTAATTGTGTTTTTACCTTCGATGACATTTGTCCACCTTCTATGGTTGAGCCAGTGGCAGTGGCAGATTTAGTGGCAGTTGAAACACTATTTCCGTCCGCGGTTCTTAAGAACATTATCTAAAATAAACAAACCGAGTGATTTAGTCTCAAATTCTAAAACTAAAACATCATTATCATGGTAATGGTACAATGTTTCCCAGCTTTGTTAAGCATCACTGTGATATACATATAGCTGTACCCTTAACGATTATGTTAACATCGCTTGTGTCGCGCTCTTACACGACACGAAAACTTACCTATAAAGATGTTTCCTATATATGTGTCTAATGGAATGCTTTTATCAGTTGAGCGAAGCGGCTAAAGGAGCAAACGTGTTCATGGCACGACTTGAAGCTTAGTTCTCAAAAATTGTTCAGTAAACTAACCTTTGGAACGAAAACAAGACTCAGAGTAAAAGAAGTACAGAAGATGGTAAGGAACGAGGACAAGGAAAAGTGGATAGTAGGTTGGTCAGCGACAACACCAAGAATAGGAATTACGAGGATACAAGGAATGATAACGTTATACAAGGACAAGCCAATCAGCTTGCTGTCATTTAAGGCGAGGATATGCACTTTGCGAGTTTCCCAGGCCAAGTAGGCTCCAAATAATAACAACAGGCCTAAAGACAGAAAGCAATGAGATAAACGCCACATTGATTAGTAAACAATTAGTACTAGCCGGTTCGATACAATGTCCTTAATTTTTGGGGCCGTGCTCTTCTCCCAGTGATTAATAGATTATTGAATCATTTTATGAACAGTTTACTCACATATCTCTAACACTCGAAAAAGTTTATTTAAACTTAATTTTATCAAACAATATTTCCGTGAGGAAACGGACAGAGATAGGAAATCGTCTGGTCTCCGGAAAAAAAATATTGTGTTTACTGCGTATGACTGTAGAAGCTAATACCCTCTGGAGTTTAAAATGGGATTTTTAAGAACCACTGTCTGACACTAATCATCTCCAAACCAGCACAGGTCACTCTCCAAGTAACCTTTGATTAACGATGCAATGCAAAATACGCTCGGTCGTGTATCAACACCTTGTGAGTCTCTGATTATTACCTTTAAACACGTATATGCAAGCTAGCCATATCGTTATGTTCTCGCAGGTGCACATGGTTATATACGGTTGTATACCAGTGTCATCTTCCAGTGTTACCTATGGAAAAATAAGGAACTTATTTGAAAATAATCCAAGGTACTGAAGCCAAAATGTATTTTTAGCATATGAAGACTTAGAGAACACCAGTGTGCACTACTACAGTCTTAGATTTTCCAAAAATACAAAACTTTAATGAGTCTGGCAGAAAATATATAATTTAGCACCTACAGTTCAAAATTGAACTGTATTTCGCTCTACACTCACGTGTATTGAGCACTTTCCTACAGCATTTGGTACAATTTCCCACAATTAATTTAGCAGCTATATAGCCTTAAACTTACTTCCCACCTTCAGAGGCCGAAAAAAGCGATTTTTGTTTTATTTGACTAAACTAAATTCAAACATCCAACCTAACGTTTCCATGAAAAAAGTTTCTGAAATCTTTCAAAACAACTGAGTTATTTAGAAAAACGTATTTTCAAATAAGTTAATAAATCAGAAAGGTGCGATAATCTCGGACCTGAGCGAATCCCTCGGGAGAATTGTCGAGGCTCAATTTTCATGTTATTTCCATATTTTTTTTACATCGTCTACATCGCGCACTTTACAAAATTCACACGTGGAAGCTCTTTGATTATGGAAAAATCTCTCTCATGGAAAAATAAAAAACTGGAAAAAAGTCCTTGGAAAAGAAAAAAAAAAAAAACAGGTCCAAAAAAGAAAGAAAGAGTACCATTCTGTCAAGAAAAGAAAAAAATTCCTTTGTGAAAGCGACTAGTGCTGGCTGAGCTCCACGCTGGCGTCCGGACTTCAAACAAAGAAGTCGTCGTCAAACCAAAATGTGTCATACATATACACAGTTCATTTTCCGGTTTTTCCATTTTTGCCGTGGGTTTTGCCTTCGCCTGTGGCAACTTTGCTCATTATTGTGTCGTCCTCCTCAACGCTCCACTGAGCGATCGAAAAAGAAAAAGAGGTGTCTGCAATCAGGAGTCCATTACTTATGTATTGGTAATGGCTCCTGCTGCAATGGGTTACTTTTTCCGGGAAATCTTGATCCATCATCTTTGACGCCAGGAGGTCCCGTTGTCTCATTGGTTTGGGGCGAAATAATCTGCTGGCGTGGCGCGAGTTGTTTGCGAACGTTTATGAGCTAAAATCTCACATTTGATTTGAAGAGGAATACAACCACTTTGAGCGAATTTATAGGGTATATAGATCTGTCTGATTTTCGTCAAACTTCGCCAAAACATTCCAGGAATAATGACAAACGAAAGTGTGTCGGGAAATTTTGATATTTGAAATATTTGTCCCGTGGCGTCCCTTTACGCAACGCGCCTCGCATATTTTTAGCTACTCAAACTTTAGATGCCGATGTCTAGACAACCAATCAGAATATTGAAAAAGCGTGACACACTTTTGTTGATGGAAGCCTTGTGAATATGGTGCATCCAATACCCGATAAATTCAATAGAAGAACCTTCGGTCGTTTCACGCCTTACCAGCTCCTGACACTTCCATATAGGAAAAGTCGGTTAAATTATATTTTTATTGTAAACTGCAGTTAGTAAGCTTTCTTCTAATGAACTTACAGTTTCGTGGGATTTTAGTGAAACAAGCGCGCGTAGGAATTTTTTCGCCGAGGGACATCCGCGAAGGTGGGAAGTAACTTTAACTTAGGTTTTTGGAATTGCAAAGGCTTTCGCTATCCTGGTCACATGTCTTCATTTCCTTTAACTTTGACGCATAAGCTTCGCGGCGAAATGTAGTGCAGCGACTGTGGATGTTTCGATGAAGGTGAATGGGCAACTTAGCCTAACATAGCTATCAAAGTTTAAAAATATTTTTTTTAGGTTTCCTCAGGACTTGCAAGTCATTTCAGGTTTTGGTGGCATGGGCGCACCTTGGAAGAGATCCCTCAAAAAAGGCGAGTGAAAGCTTCCTTTTCCCTTAGGTTCAAAATTTCACAACTTGATTAAGAGTTTTGCTCTTTACCTGCAGCGTCAAGTTTTCTACTTTACTTGTCAATGGGTCGACAATTTGCCAGGTGACGAGAATTATGACATCGATTAAGAGAAGAACTGCAACCATACTAAACAACTGACGGTCCCGGATGATAACCTGAAAGAAAATTATTCAGAAAAATCGCGTTTAGGGATCTTTCGAATTGAGTATGTCGCTATGTTACAGTTGCATCTGTCTCTCAATTTATCATCTCCATCTATACATCTATCTTTCTACCTGTCTGAACTTTTATTTTGTCCGTCTCTCTGTCTACCTTTTTTCCTTTCAGAAATATGCGTAACCTGTAAAAAGAAGTTGGGTGAAATGGCGTTTGATAATCAGAATAACTGGAGCAATTACAAAGAAAACACCGGAAATCACTAACGTTACAGTTAATCAAAACTCTAGATAAAGAGAAAACCACTGAATCATTATACACTCACCCTTTTTGTAGTTTTAGTATTAAGAAATATTACATGAACTCTCCAGGTTTTGCTGAACATCGCTCCAAAGCCTAAGCTGAATCCAATCATTACAATCCATAACTCCAACTGATAATGAAAAGGTTGAAAGGAATAAAATTGATTATTTGCTATTTACTGTTTCCTTGACAAAATTTATTCCACAATCTTTCCTTAGCTCTCAAACGTTCTCTTCAACTTAGCTGATGTGAGATGGTACAGTCAATAGGTACACTGAGTTTCATTGTTCCATTAAGAAAAGCGTCTATAGAAATTCCTTCGATAACTGATTCCACGAAAAAGACCTGGTCCAAGATACGAAGCTTAGAAATCATGGTCTATGAAATTGAGGTAAATCATGAATTGCAATTTACCATGGCCAAACACAAGACCTGGTTGATTATTATGAGGAAGACAACATTTATACGCATTTACCTGGCACAAATAACTTGCTTGCTCTTTATTTAAGCCGAACAGTACACCCGCCACATAGACAAGTATGCAACCGACTATAATCAGGTTATTAAGATTAGGTGACGACATTTTTATATACCTGAGGAAGGGAGAAAAATAAAGCAAAAAATTTTATCAGTTCTGATGGTCTTGCTCCCTCATTCCCTTTGTATTATTATTATTATTATTATTATTATTATTATTATTATTATTGTGCATGCTCCGTGCAACACCATTAATCCTTTATACCTTGTTAAAGGCATTATTGAGTATTGCGTAATGTAACGTTTGGTTGTATGAGCTTTCAAGTTATAACAAGAAATTACATGGTAGTCACTCTTACGGGTCAAAAGGTTAACACCGGTAAAACTGAGTTGCTTTCAGTATGTCGGGCCGGGTTTCAATGAATCTCTTAACATTTTAAAGAGCTCAATAACTTACATAGGAACTCATAAATTCAAGGGGAAAGACATGACATGTCCACCGTAACAAGTAGCTCCTTACAGCAAGAATATGTTTTGGCACTGAAAATATTTAGCGTTATACATTTTTTGTAATGTGTTTAGTTTAGGGAACTTCATGGTAACGCTCCCTGATTGAGCATGATCTATCTACCAGAATAATGCATCGAACAGGACCGCCTGATTAAGCTTGCTTCTGCAAATATCTAAATATCCTCATCTAAAAAGGAAAAAAATCGAAAAAAAACTGTAAAACAGATACCTGATCTTTTGGTTGTATACATTGAATATGAGGAATCCGATGGCCATCAGAACTCCGAGGATTGATACAGCGATAACAAACCACAAGACCCCTGGATCGACTCCTTCCAGCTTTTCTTCTATTCTTAGACCATCGACGGGGACTTTACCACCTTAACAAGCAAAAAAAAAAATTTCACTCTGATGAAGAAGAGGTGCACAGCATATCTGAATCGGAAGGTAAGGTTTTTATATATCCATCTATCAAACTAGATAATAACACATGCGATCGTGTGATCGTAGTGTTGTAATTATCTTCTCTCTCTAAGATAAAAGATCAGTAATATAAAAGTTATTTTTCTCTGTAGAATGTATAATAAAAGATCTTAGAGCAAATAGCACTTTCAATTTCATTCTTCTCCTTGAAAAACTAGTTACGGTTTCAAGTTAAAAAAAAAGTTAAAAAAAAAAGAGATTCTCAAATGTAAATATAATAAAATTAGATTATATATGTATAACATGCATATTACCATCCCATGAGTAAACACTATTGCTATCCTCTTCGTAAGTGTCATTTTCCATGTCGTAGAATGCAACTCTTCGCTGGGTGTTTCCTACACGACGAGACAAACAAAGCTTTTAAAAGATTGGGTTTGAAGGTATACCAAAGACCTCTGGCAGGGTCTGATACGAGAAAGGCGACAACAATTTGTCACACACGGTCAGTACTTGCCTTGTATTTGTTGGACCTCAAGTTTTGTTATACGGTCATAATTACTGTCGAACTTCACCTGGCCCTACAAATGGATTGAAGACTTGAAATTCGATAATCTAGAGAATGGATTTGCCTTTCAAACAGCAACCACAGATTACTAACACAGCAATCGCGATTGAATGCAACTTACTGACATTCCAGCGAATGAAATCCTCTTCATTATGTCGACAAAGACTTTGCTCATGTTAGGATGGCTATAGTTGAATTCATTCAGTTTGAAGTTCTGTTTTCCCAAGACATCAATTGATGCGTTGAGAGTCAGTGCGCATGTCCAGGCCGCGTCGTATCCATAAGAAGCAAACGTATTTTCGGAATATCCCGAGTTCTTGAGGCGTTCTAGATATTCAGCATAGAGTTCTTGGGGCGTCTGAGAAAGATGACAATGCAAATTATTGTAGAGGAGATAGCTAGTTGATCTGTGTTAGTATATGACCTTTCCTTGTATTTTTATTTAATTATGTGTTAAAAGTGTGTCTATGCTTAGTCGGTGAAAGTTGTATTGTTAATTTTGTTTTTCTATACGTACTTATCGAGGCTTTTTGTTATGTCAGCCCGGGATGGTCAATGAAAGAAATTTAAGTTTTCGTTATTCTCATTCATTAATTTCAATAAATCGAGGTTTGTTGTCAACTATTCAAAGTATATATTTTCACAATCGTGAAATAATCGCCTGTTATTGAAAACGTGGAAAAGCTGTTCCACGCTTCCTTATTAAATCACGGTTTAATCACTTGATTTAACGATTCTATGACAACGCTTCGATTAACTCCCTCTCACATATGCAGCTCCTAGCTTATTCGAAAAGAACACGAAAAACGTGGGGTAGCAAGCATGGGGAACAAGGCCATATAAGAGAGAAAAAGACACCTGCCGCGTACATGTTTAGTTATATAATAGACAAACGAATTACTTACAAAATATCGACCAAAATAAGACGAATTAACATATCATAGAGTTTCCAACACTCTAAGCCTCTCCTCGTGTAAAAAGAGGAGACACGACAGTTTGACTTAGGGTTATGTTACATACCTTTCCAAATTTAGTTGGTCCCGAGAGAGGACTGAGTTTCAATTCTCCGGTTCCGATGTTGTTACTCAGGCCTTTCCGCACTTCCTCCGGAGTACAATCCACGAGAGGACTCTGCACTTTCCACCAATTGTCCTGAATTCGAGCAGAGTTCAAAATCCACACATATTTCGGTCCATACATACCTTTCTTGAAGGCCTGTATGTTGTAATTCAAACACAAAAAATAACTGATTTACACGTGAAACGGTTATCAATTCTTGACCAGTGTAATGTAGTTTCGTTATAATAGTCGTATTTTGGGTTTCAGTGTTAATGTATGGATATGTTTATAATCTTGCAAATGGACCATAATGTTGTTGTACTCCAGTTTGTTTAAGTTTGAAAATACTTGCCGAAATTTTTTTTTCATAATCAGTCGTTCACAAAAGATTATGAACTGAGAGAACTAATCCCTCTTACATACCCCTATTACAATGATGATTTTTCAAAATCTACTTTTAGCGCCCGTTCCTGCGATGCAATATTTTGAGAGCATTAACTGATTGGTTAGTGGTTCTGTGGTGAAATTTAATGTGTTCTGTTTGGCGACCACCGCTTTGTGGTTTGTGGTGTTCATTTAGATGATATGGTGACATTTTTGGATCAAAATGATAAAAAAATAACCTCTGAGCGTTACCCGCAAAGCCTCAGCTTTTTTTCCCTTGTACTCCACATGCAAGGGTGCGTGGAAGATGTTTCATCAGAAAGCTTGATTGGACGATCTGAATGTCTGGCAATGATTGATTTAGGTAATCTTCCTCAAGGGTTATCGATTAAGCGGCAATGGCGCGACATACACATTTTCCAGAAGAAAGAAAGCGAACCGACTCGATCTTAATGATTTCTTAATCATTTTTTTACTTTTAATCAATGCCGTTAATCGCTGACCTCTATGCTTGATTAGCTATGGGACTTTTTTCCTCGACCCTCGACCAAGAGACAGAATCTTACAATTTGGTAGAAAATAAAACATACAGCAAATGACTGTTTACAAGAGCCCAATGGTTTGAGAGAAAGTTAAAAAATGAATAGAAACTAACCGACGGTGATGAATAACGGATGGTGAGTGATTAGTCTGAGCAACTGTTAAGCGCGATTCCTTCTCGATTCACACAACTGTATCTGACAAATATATCAAGCTTACTCTTTAAATGGGTAATAAAACGTAGAAATATTTTGAGAGGAATCAATTTGAATCCATTTCAAACATCCATTTATATGGCAATAGCGTTTTCCGGTGCTTTACAGTTAAAAAGGCTTACTGAAATTTGCGAAACGAAACGAAATGAAAATCTGTAATTTGCGAAATAGATTAAATTTTTTCATTTCTCACTCGTTGTTTTAGTAATTATTTTATAGGTTGCGTAAGCAATCCACACTTGTTGTGAACTGACCGACTCGTTCTTTTGGCCTGAGGGGCTTTCCGCCCGGTTCCGCAAATCATGAACAGATTTCTTTTTGAAAAATTACAGATTTCTACTTTGCAGATCATTAATAGATTTCTTTTTCGCAAATTACAGATTCTATTTTGCAAATAATTGACAGGTTTCCGGCTCATGATGTCGCAAATTACAGATTTTATTTCGCAAATCATTAACAGATTTCTGTTTCGCAAATTTTACAGATTTATGTTTCCCAAATTACAGATTTTCATTTCGTTTCCTGTCGTTTCGCTTCGCAAATCACAGTAAACCAAAACTTAAAGTATAGAAAGAGGACCGGTTCGATCTCGCCGTCGAAACACTGATTTCTTACCTGAATTTGTTTCTATGTGACAATGTGACTAGTTTCTCGCTAAATTCGGCTAGCTTTATGACTTATCACTTTTATGAATTGGTGGAGAATTGTTTACATGAGCTCCTGCCATTTGCGAGAAAGTAAAAAACATCACTACAATAGTAGACGTTAAGCAAGGCAAAACTACAGTAAGGCACGATTTTTTTTTTCTTACATCAGTGCGCATAAATCAATAAAAGTAAGTATTCAAACGGTAAGGCAAACATTTATAGATTTGTTTCGATGATGAGCGGTTACAGTTTTTAGAAACTTGTTTAAAACTTTAATATCGGAAACCACAACGATAGATGATGTTGAGATAGTAAACGCGTTATCATGGGAAGTATTTATAAGGGTAACTTCCCGGCGTGGCGGGAAATTTAAAATAGACTTTAAAAAATTATTACGGATCACGGGGATAACTACTCTCAGTTTATAACCTCTTTTCTTTCATCATGGCATGTCTCTCTTTTGGTTACATCTTTAATGAAAGTATGGGTTCAATTCCATTTTTCATTCAGAAGCGGGAAGTAGCGATCGTTTCTCACTCTGGAAAAATTAGTAATTCATCGGAGATGAAATTTTCTTTCTTCACGCCCTTACCTCACAAAAGGTGATATAATGTTCATCTGGATAGAAAAATGCAAAGATGATACGGGCATCTTTCCTCTGAGGGATTCAAAATACAATTTGTGTTAAGTTTATGCCATAACCACTGAAGACTTGAAACTGGAAAAAAAATTTTAACCTCACTTACATAGTTACCAGGATTATCGGAATAAATTGCGTTTTCTTCTTCCTTCTGATCAATACTGTCGTCAATAAATCGACATTCCAAAGTGACCATGGAAAATAAGGTGTTCATTTCTTAATCACTAAGCGTGAAGTACCTTATGAAAACAGAATGAAACTTATATAGTTTACCTTCAGGTTCTCTAAGGCAAACCTCGGATGATCTTTGAAACTCTCGTAGGCAAGCACGGTTATATTGGCAGCACTCAGTAAATCAACAAGAGAGTTGCTGATTCCTGTGAAAACGTCGTTGTTTTGTTGCATAATGGCAACTTTCTTCCAGTTGAATCGTCTAAGAATCGCAATACGTCCCAGATTGGTGAATCTCTCCGAAGGGTTGGTTCGAAAGTAGAGGGGAAAAACGGCTTTTGACGATAGCAATGGGGAAGAATTTGAGAAGCCAATCTAATAATAAAATAAAAATTTGAGTAATGCTTTTGTTGTTATTTTGGAAAAAAACCTTCTTCATTTTTTTTACTACCTCTCTATTTACTTTCATTTGAAAAAAAGTTCCGAGGAAAACACCTTTATTCCAAGAAGGGATCTAAACAGGGTTGAGCTCATTTATCTCTAATTGCAAGGTGTAAAAATGTTCGTAAGAAACCTGTTATTTTAATGAAAACCAGTTCCAAAGCATGCCGTATTGTTCCGGTAACGAGATGTCGTAATCTCCTATTCCATGATCTTCACCTTTCCCCAGCTTCATTAAAAATTTCATAAGAGAACTTACTTGCACAATGTTCCAGTAATGAATTGCTTCCGCCACTGGCATTGTGGCTTTAGAGCATCCGGGGCCTAGAAACATGATTTTGGGTTTTCCGGATGATATGTACTCCAAAGTTCCGCGGACAGCCTCGCCAACATTGCACTGAGTGTTTAAAAAAACGAAAAGTCCAAATCAAAGCTGAAATTTATCTAGTCTGCGCCTACGTCGATCGGAATCAAAAGTGTCATTTTATGATCATCTAGTAAACCTGTTAATCAACGAGTTTAAAAAACTCGTTGATTTAATGATCTTTCAAATTGCTTGCATACCTCAAACGGAAGAAAGGAACTTTCCTGGACGAAAATTGAATTTCTCGAAGTTATCGCTAAAATATTCACTTTTATGTCGCTCCGCCGATTAAAATTATGAACAAGAATGAATTTGGCGCGTAGGAATGTTCGTTGATGCCTCATTGGTTACAACACAAATATCAGATAATATTTTAGTCCAAGCTGTGCTAACAAGACTTGTGTGGGCTTTCTGACAAAGGATAAATACGTGAGCTGTTTCCTTGGGTGTCAGAAAAATCTCTAAATGTGTAAAATTTAAAAGTTGTTCTACTGCATCAAATTATTGTAATCATTTCTGAACTGTTTTAAGGATTCACAGTGTAAAAGGCTCATCCAGAAAAAACTGTCATTATTAACGGAGGACCTGAATTAAAAAGCTCCCTATGGTTTGTGTAAAATAGATGTCGTTCTCTTAATAGTTAACAAACCTTAGAATCCTTTATTAAAAGTTGCAGGTGATAATCCTTAAGAATCTCTGTGTTGTTGTTTATTTCATCGATAGCCATCTGAATGGCGGGAATTGTTCCTGCCGAGTTCCATCCACCGCCACTTGTGTCGATACCAAACAGTCCACCGATGTAAAGTGTTTCTTTAGCTTTACAGTGTGAAAAGATCAGGGGTAGAAGCAGAAAAAAGCAGAGTCTCTTCCTGGTCATTACGGTTACTTTCGACATAAGAAACAACGCGTTATTCTTGCAGACTGGCGAGGGATTCGTCAGTATTATCTTTATAAATGTTCTTTTCTGATCAAAATGTGATGAAGTTCGTTTACACCTTTGGAGTTAAAAGGCAACAGCTATTGATCAATAAAACATTAATTTCTTAGCCAATAATTAAACAATTCTCAGCAATGCTGGTTAGGCAAACGTATAAATATGTGGAGGATTTGTCAACGATATTCTATAAATACAGTAATTACGATAAAACTGTCTTTTTAAAAGCACCTAAAAGAGTAAAATATTTCTTTATCCCCACCATCGTTTGGCATGGATTGTAATAGTTTCATCCTCCAATGAGGCTCGTCTTCAAGGTATTTGAACATCAAACAGTTTTCCGGCGCTAAAGCCGAGGGGTACACCGTTTCTAAACATTTCTTTTATTTTTGTATGAAAGAAAAAATGTAAACCGATAAAAATCATATCTCTTCGGATTAAGTTGGATCTTGGTCATCCAATCGAAAAAGAAGCTGAGAGAAAGCTTTCTAATTATTACTGATCCTTTATTTCCTTCCATTAAAAGCAGGTTGGTTGCTCAAAGTTTATCTTCCCTTCATTAACTTTATAGACTGTTGAGTTTTGTTTCTTGTTTCCCTTTTAAATCACGTATGCTCAGCTCCTTGGTTTTTTAGGAAAAGGTTGTCGGACGATAGGAGATAGGGAAACTACGTTAATAATAACGTATATTTTACACGTGAGAGAACGTCCTTGTTAGTACAACTTATACTTAATCATTCTTAATGGTTTTTACGAAATTGAAAGCTATTCTCAATCGCATTACGAAAATAACACATCTGTGCAGTCTTTTTTCTACCAACGCATACTTAAATTTGCATGTTCTCACCTCGTTCTATAGTTTTCATTAATTACGAGTCATGGTGAAAATTTCCACTCGAACGCATGTCGCACAAGTCGTGGCAAGGTTGGCAAGCATTTTTCAATCAATAGCTGCAAATCAAAATTAACCTGATGTTTTTTAAATGCCGTGCCCCTTGATATTTGTATCATGGAAAAAGAAATGAGTTTCTTCAACAGGAATAAAGTTATACTTGAAATAATAGAGAGGCTGTGAAATACAATTCTATCTGTCCATGAATTTAAGCTCGAGCCGTTCAGAATTCCCCGAACTAGCTTCACTAAGACAGCCTACAATTACGTGAAAACGTTGAGTTAAGTCATCAATGAAATTTGCTGTGTCACTCCTTAGTCCACATGGGTGGACTATGGCTGGTGAAAAATATTCCTTTATATTTAGAAGCAAGTACAAAATAAGCTTTGATAAAAGCAGTGACTATAAAAGTGAATTATAGAACTCGCCTAGTTTTATGCTAACAATCTTACTGTGTAAATTTTGAGATGACAATCAATCATTATTTGAGTTGATTTGCACGATTCTTGTGCTCCAAGACTGGCAATTGCCGTTGCTTTCGTAGATCGAGATTGGCGCGGGCAGGAAAAATTGCACGGGGAGAAAAAATTGTGTGAGTCTTGAGTTATGTCAGTTGTAGTTTTGTTATCAATGGCGTATTTAAAGTTGAATGTTAGGTACTGTGAAATATGGACCCGAGTTGCTAAACCAGGAAATTACAATCGATGTCAAAGCACTATCAGCATCTAAAGCACTTTAATTTGGCCCTATCAATATCAAACTCTGTGCAGAAAACGGATTATTTGCTTTGCTGAGGCGTGCTACCATGCTACATTACCATTAGAGTTTATTTACATCAGTAACCGGTCACAAATGGGTTTCTTGGAATAATGCAGTGTGGAAATCCAAAAATTACCCCCCGTTTCTTTTCAAAAACAGTTTACAACTTCTCAGAAACGTGTAATGTTTATAATCGTGCGAGGATCATGTTACTCCCACAGGAAACGTTTCAGTATTGCTTGAGGAAGAAAATATTTCGTGGGTCTTCATTTCTGAACAACTGCCTCAAAATGGTGGTGATGTGACCGTTCAGAGGGCTAAATTGACTTTCTGCAGACTGAAATGTCTTCGTTTTTCCTCCTTCTATTGTTCCTTTTCTGTATTATTCTTCTTAGTCTGATTTTCTCATTCCACCAAACAGCTTTTATGAACGATTGTATTCAAAGTTACTCACTGTGAGACTCTTCTTTCCCATGATGCATCTCTTTTGGCCCAAGAGCATACTGGGTACCCAATCAAAATAAAGAAGAGTGTGTGGGGGGAGAGGTAGTTGAAAAAACTTTGAAGGAAACGTTTATGCAAAATTCAATGTTTTCTCATGAGCACTAATGGGTTTATCAGTAAAAAATACATTGCGATGGTTCCAGCATAGAATATCGTTTCAACCGAATAGTGCGTAAGCCCAGGAGTCCTTCATGGGCTCCAGGCATATCACAGAACTCAGCTAAAAAATAAAAAATGACGTATTTCCGAAGGCTTCTAAATTTCCTTTACTCTCTTGAGTGTCTGCTTTCTTCAAAAACATGTACACCTATGGGTATATTATTCCTCATAACTCAAATTTTTAATTAAAAGTATTTTGTTATCGAAAGAAAGAGTAAATTATTTAATTTGAAAGCTGTTGAATTGAGCAAGGTAGGTTATATTGCGGAAAATATTATCGTACCTCTCCTTTCGATGTCAAAATTTGATTGACAGCCTAAATCTTCTTTGTAAATTTAATTAGTTTGTTTGATGGCTTTGGGAGACCAACAAGATAAAAGTCTTAATTTCTCCCACGGAATACTGCACCGAAAACCCGGGTTGTAGTCATTTGCAACTTATAAACACTAATAAAATTACTAAATTTCACTAAGAAATTTAGTTCCAGAGGAACAAAATCATTAAATTCAAAGGCGAACACTTGAAAAGCACCGACATGAAGACAAATTTGAGCAAGGTTGATAAAGAGAGACAGGTGTTTTTGATGTTGTCTCTTAGAAAAAACGATTCGCGTTTACGCTGGAAAAAAAATAGAATCATTTTCGCCGGCAAAAAAATTCTCAACAGCTGTGTTTCAAACTTTAAAAATCTTGCTTTCTAACACAATCAAGATGAAACGCAATTCAGTTGAGCTTTTAAAAAAGTCTTTAGAAGAACCTTTTCGAGTTTCCTTCATTCTTAAAACACAGCAGTTAAGGCCCTTTAAAAAATGTCAAAAGAACATCATCTTGCATGGTTATTTTTGTACTTATATGCAATCTGAAATTGCCAATTTTGTCAGGTCATCATTTAGAAAATGAAGCTAACGATCGCTAGTTTATACACACTAGACCAGACACCTTACCTACATAAACCTCAATTTGAAACCAGGAAATCCAACGAGTATGGATTAAATATTAGGGATTGAAAGCAACGCATGCAAGTTTTCTTCTGGGTCTCTCCCAGCTCGTCGGCGGTCTTGCTTTCACTCAGTTGGCTTCACCTAGCATTTTTGATGCTGTTTGCGTTGCTCGCTTAAACATGCAATCTCCAGTTGGGTGTAAAAACTAATTATTTCCTGTTATGAAATATGCAGATAAGATAATTAAACACACATGCAAATGCAGAGTGATGTTCATTTTAATTATTTTGCTACTACCTTATTTGACAAGTGGCTCAAATTTGATAAGAAATTCTGAATCGTTCTCCGTTTATGTAATCTATGCTGAAAAGCAGCGAACTCTTTTCAATTTAACGGAAATGACAAGGAAACGGAAGATGCAATCACTTTAAACAGACAATGTCCAGCGTTTACCATTCTACAGGCTCGGATAAGCGGAGGTGAGGGCATCATATTCATGAATTTGCGTTGACAAAGGCAATTTACTATCTACAATCGGATTTCTGAGAACTGCAATACCATATAATTTACAAATGGGCTCTTAAATTCGCCAATCTCAATCCGTAAATTAGTCGATTATGTGTTAGGGAAGGCAATCTGTTTGCTCTTACGGAAGCACCGTAAATTAACTCTCCCCAGGTATCTCCAATTTCTCTTTGTCTACCGCTTGTGTGTGAGCCAAATTCAACCTCCTTGTTCCTCCCCTGGTGTTAATCCCAAACAATTAATTAAAGGACTTATTGACCTCCTTTCAAAAACTCACCTTAATTAGTTAATGCTTATTGTAAGGCAGGTTATTTACATCTTTGACATGCATGGTTCTTACAAAGACAACATCTGAACCCCAACTTCAGATGAGACGAAACAAAAGAGCTATTGCAGTTGCCCTTACCAGGTACAACTAGTTGTGAATAACTTGTTCCTGCATTGAAAGAGGGAAAATGTTTTAAAAATGCAAATGATATCTCCAAATGAATTACTATTATGAAACAAACGCCATCGTGTCGACGAGTTACTTCATATAATGCTTAATTCAATTGTACCTGTTCTCGTTGGTTTGAAAGTGTTTTCCATACATGTGTTGCACTGGTCACGGAAAAAATCCAAAAATGATAGTTAGGTGAGACGTGAACTTTGATTAACAAACTAAAAAGTCTATCCTGCATGTAAAGTCAAACATGGATTTAAATAATAAGAATAGCGCATTTGTAAACCTTTCCCTGGCCAAAACTCTTAGGCAAGTCACTCACGTACTGAAAAAAGGAACTAGTTTGAAAAGCTTTCAAGGTGTTTCAAAGTGAGAGCAGCAAAAAAATCGTAAAAAAAATTGTAAATTGATAATTTCAAGTCCTTGAAGTAGAATTCAGTTATAGCAAATACTCACATAAAAATTAAAGCAATAAGGTATCCTCGGCTTGTGATCAATTTGTTTTCTGGTTATGCTTAGAGTAAAGAAAGTTGTTTACTTGTTTTTGATAAGCAAACACGGAATTTTGTTTTGAAGTGTATAACCGTTGAAAATATTAAGTAAAAATGCCTTTTTTAGATCTAATGAATGAGTTGTTAGTAATCGGATCCTTGCGTTTACGCACAGGTTTCTGGGATCGCCATGGGGCAAACATTGCAACTCGCCAGAAAGGAATGTATGGTAAAAAGTTGTTAGGACGTCCAAAAAAAATGACTTTGGTTAGGGATTATGGCTTTTTCGCCGCAGTTTTATAAGTGGATGAAGATAAGGTTGACAAGATAAACCTTGCGTAAGATCTATCGCCTATTGGCTCTTACGGGAATCTTTGGCTTGTCCTATTTATTGTCCGCTTCCAGTGATATTAAAAGGCTCTAGATTGGAAATTGCTCTAATCAGGTAGTCGGTGTTCGAAAGTAAATTTCGCCGCAATAATGGCGTAATGTGATTCGCCAATTTCCGTTGTCGATAAGAGTACAGACAACGCTGCCGTCAACTTGTCACGATCCTGGTCACACACTGAAAGAATCGTTTTATTTGACGTCGATATTGTGGTAAAAAAAAAAACGAATCGACAGTGGTTTAGCGTGGTCTGTTCTCTTATCGACAACTCATACCTTGTTAAGAATCCGGATTGACCGGAATGGTTTAAACAGTTTCCTGACCTGCCTCTTTTTTCCTACTTGTGGTGAACGGATAGGATGCTTTCCCAGTAGATCATAACGCCTTACTTTCTTTTGAGTTCTCTCCACTTGTACCTCATCTTTAGAGTTATGGTGACGGTCTCACCAGGGGAACAATATGCCAGTTCATTAGAATAAACTTGTTTTTAACAGGTTCACATGTAGAGGGCACAACTCTTCACTTGAGAGCGAAGAGTTTGAGATGCCCTGTGCGAATTCGAATCTCGGCAAGGTAAGCCGCGCAATATCAAATGGTTTTTTCAGTTTTTTTT